TCTGATCTAACTTTAGTGGTTGGGTTTAGTGTGTAGGTGTGCTAGGTGATGCTGGTGGCCTGTGGTATACATGGGTCACAGTAGATGGTTTAGTGGCCCCTTCTGGATTTAAACTTTATCACTCTATGATTGAGGGAAAGATTCTACAATATCTTGGACATAAATTACTTGTAGGGAATCTGGCATACACAGTGTGGTACACTATGCAGAAGATGATATGTGTATCTAATACTGTAAAAAAAACTGTATGATATACTGTGCTACTGAGAAATAACAGCTCATTACACATCTACCTTGATATAACGCTGTCCTCGGGAGCCAAAAAATCTTACCGCGTTATAGGTGAAACCGCGTTATATCGAACTTGCTTTGATCCACCAGAGTGCGCAGCCCCTCCCCCCCCCGGAGCACTGCTTTACCACGTTATCTCCAAATTTGTGTTATATCGGGTCGTGTTATATCGGGGTAGAGGTGTGTGTAATTAGAGTTTGCGTCGTACATACACACAATGAGCAGAGTTAAGGTTGTGAGTTCATCTGCAATAGTCATACCATGACTTCTGAATGGTGAAGCATAGCATTCTCTTAAAGAAGGACAGTGCAATGTAAACCCCCCTCTCTCAATGCTGACTTCTGGCTTTGACCTTTTCAGGGGGTTCATCTACCCTCCTTAGACTTCAGCCAAAGAGGCAGCACATGCCTGTAAAGACAGACACTGGAGGGCTGGGTTGCTTGGAGTTCTTGATTGGGGCTCTTGATTTGCAGCATCCTACTTGGTCGAGGTGCCTCAGTCTTTAAGGCAGGGTGGATGGTGGGGGCTGGGACCGGGGATTCCAGCCCTTCCCACTTCACTGGGTCCCAATCCAGGGCCCTGTGTAAGTCAACTCCTGAGTAGAGGACCTCCCTAAATCCACTGCCCAGGGCTACTTCCTACCACTGTCCCTTCAATTTGGGGTGTGACCCCTATAGTCCAAGCCACTGTGGTGGCTTGTCTCTAGTAGTGCCCCCTCATGGACCATGAGTGGCACCCTGCCATGGTCCCAGGTTCCTCTGGGCAGGGCAGTCATAAGTTTGGCAGGGTCAGACCCCCACAAGGTCTCTGTGCTTCGGTCAGCTGGGTTTCTCTTAGGCTGGGTGATCCTCAGCCTCTTCCTCAGACTCCCTTGATTCTTTCCTGGTGTCTGCCTTCGCTGCCAGGATAGTGACCCTTCCCCTCAGGTAGGGAGGCAGCCAGCTCCTGCCTCTTTGCCAATCAGCCCCAAACTGAGCCAGGTTCTCTCTTTTTCTCTCTCCTCTGGGCCTGACACTGGCTGCATGTATAATGGGGCAGGGCTAGCTGGGCCCAAAGGCTCTCCTT